AAACACTGTTGGGAGAGGTTATTATATCTTAGTACCTAAGAGTCAAGTCCAGCCAATGTGTCAAACTCCCAAATTATAAACAGCAATGTAGCAATGAAAAAGGTTGTAAATAATAGACAAGTGTGCATTACCTTAATTTCACCATATAATTGGGCACAGGAAGTGTTCGTACATGGAAACAAACTCTAGCACTGTTCCATCTTTTGGCTGACTTAGACACTAAATACACAGGCACTAATGGGATAATTAACTAGCATTCTCGAGCTGCTTACTAACTTCCTAAAGAGAGAGTGATTTCCTAAGTAAGTTTGGCACAAAAAACAAACTGGTTCAATAAGAAATCACTCAACTGGATCTGGGTTTTTTTTGTTTGTTTGTTTCCTTTTTTCCCCCTAGACACCTATTAGAACACTCAGGGAAGCTTATTTTGTTTCCTGATTGTTTGCTACCTATTGAACTAAAAATACATATTATTTTGTTTTATGTAAAGGGTTATGTGCTTATTCTTATAATTTTTAGGAAAAGATGAACCATTTCATTTATCCTGCCAGTACACATTATGTAAAACAAAAAAATGTGTTTCCTTAAAACTATTACCTACTTTTGTGAAAGTGCCTTTTATAGAATAAAAACCTGTCTCACAAATATCATGTTAGCTTTTGATGCTATAACACAATGTACAATGTCAATAAGTTAGAGGGGAAATATTCATTTGGTCTCATAATTTCAAAGGTTTCAGTCCATGACCCATATGTCTGGTGTTGTTAGCTGGCAAGGCCCAAAACATATGGCACAGGAATTTTGTAGTAAAAAGCTGTTTGCCTAACGGCAGCCAGGAAGGAGTCAAAGCAGACCCAAGTTCAAGGAATATCATCTAGGATTAGTACACATTGACCTACTTCCTTTGACTATACCCTGTATCCAGAAGGTCATCATCTTCTAAATCCTATAGTACTTTAGCATAGAGAGCTCTCATGATCCAACCACTCCCCAAAACCTGCCATTTAAAAACTAGTCCTTTAATATGTGAGAATTCAGGAGATAGCTCAGATTCTAGTCACAACTTACAGTTATTTACATTTACAAGCTCATGTATACCATCAACTTTATTCAAAACATTTTCCTCTTTGGGCTAACATATAAACAGTTGTTTTAATAGTTATTTTTTTATTAATGTGAGGAAAATCCAGATAAAATAAACTTAATGGAGGAAGTGCTTATTTGGTTATAAACTTGGTGGCTGCTGGTCCCATTGCATCTGCCGTCAGGGAGAAGACTTAGATGCATTCTAGAACTCTACTCTTCTCTTTTAATTTGGTCTGGGATCCAGCTCATTGGAGTTCCGCTGTCAACAGTTGGGGAGGGTCTTTATATCACAATGCAATCTAGAAACTCCAGCATAGACATACCTAAAGTTACGTTTCTTAGGCCCATCTAGAGATTGTCAATTTGACAATCAATATCAACAGCCATAAAATTCATACCAGTAATCATAGTTGACAACAAATTAGAGCTCTTTCATTCAGTTGGATGGCCAAAATGATTACAAAATATTTGGCTCAATCACATAATGTAAAGGCAGGGAATCTGGAGAAAAGCTATTGATTATTTGTTTATAATTATTTAGGTCAATGTTTTTCAAATGGTATTCAACTTAGTGTGTTTTGTTTTCTAAACGATCCATTAGGTTTGGGATTTAATCCAAAGGGAAAAAAATAGAAAAAAGGCTGGAATCAAGCATAAACCATCCTCGAGGTACAAATGCTTGGCATGCAGTAGAGAAGAATGGAGTGAAGAAGAGATAAAGGGTGTGATTGCTTTTGTCTTTTATTCATCTATGAGATAATACCACAGATTGGATAATTTCTAAATAGCCAACAATTTGATTCTTATAGCTCTGAATGACTGGGATTCTGAGACACAGGAGTCACCAGCTAGCAAACACCTGTGTGTTACTTCACTTATAAAAAGGGGTGAAGAAACATAAAAGGAGGAAAGACAAATGGGAGTGCATTCCAGTGCAGGACTGCTGAGAACCAAACTTGCTCATGCGAAAAATGATTCTAGAAGTAGCAGTTCCTGTGATAGTGCAGTTAATCCACATTGGGCTGAGCCTCCCCAGCCTAATCACTTGAACTGTGCTTATCTCTCAGTACTCTTGACTGGGGGATTGGGTTTAGATTTACATATTTGGATAAGTTACTTTTTGTCATTATACAAGGAATCAGCATTATAGAGAGTCACAATAAATCACAAAATGTTTCATAAGTTTTGTGGTATAAAATTGGTAAAGACATAGGTGATCTCAAAGAGTGTTATTTATCCTTTAAATACAAACACACTCATAACAAGGCACAGGAGTCAACACTGGAGGCAGCTGTAAAGACAGTGTGTATAGTCTCAGGTACAGGACCTGGGGCCAGAGATCTGTATTTATCGGAATCCTGGATCTGAAGATCACAGACTCAGAGTTACCCCTTACCTTTTCCATTTACCTGCATGGAGGATTAGTAAACAAGTGAGGAAAATAATTGTAATGTATGTGGTAAATGTCATTTTTACTTTTTTATATATAAAGCTACTTTCTCTTAGAAAAGATTAACCTAGGAATTGAAAAATTGGAGATCAAATAAAATGAAACAAAATATAGTAAACTTCATTTCTGAATGCAAATCAAGTATAATCCATATATATAAAGTATACATATAATATATTATATATACACATACTTTTTAAGTAAAAATGCCTTTTGTGTGTCTATTAAGTCTAAAAGGCCAGTGTAGTTGTGTCTGCAACATGCAATGATGTTCTCTTACCTGTTTCCAGAATGCTTCAATATTGGGTATGGTGTCACATCTGGAATGGGGTACTTTGCTTTGATAGATTTGGCTAAGTGAAAATCAATTTAAGATACCTTGTCCTTTGATCAGAATTCTGAGAATCTAGAGATGGTGGAAAAGAGTTAATCACAGCTGCAAATTTTCTAAGATCTAGACTCCCTTAGGAACAAGCTTCAGGGAACCCTGGTGGACTTTATTAAGATTAGGTTGAGGTGGGTGTCAGTGTCACAGCTCTGAAGACAAAGGCATCCTGGCAGTCAGGAACCAAGGCCTACCCAAATTTCACACTGCACAACAAACTTCACATAAGAGATTTATTGGGGGGGGGAGAATGTAAGCCCCTTGAGCCACAGGAATGGTGAGGTTCCTCCCCTGAGGATCTCTAACTACCAGGTTCCATCCACAGAATACCCTTACTGCCCAAACTGCTGAACACTGGTCCCACCCAAGCTCTGGACATGAAACTCCACCAATCTCCACCCTGAAAAGTTCCATCCCCTTCCCAAGAGGCTCTATATAAGCCCTCTGTCCTGTTCAGTTTGCTTCTGTTTCTTGCTTGAGCAGAGGCAGCCACCCCCTTGTTTGTTTGGTTTTTTGTTGTTGTTGTTGTTGTTGTTTTTTGTTTTTTGTTTTTCCCTCCCAATAAATCTTGTGTAAGGTTTGTTGTGCAGTGTGACTTTGTGGTATTCTTTGACTTCCAGCTGCCAGGAATCCTTTCTGTCTGAGCTGTACAGTTTACTAAGAACCCAGGAGGATGGCTGCCCCTGCCTGGGTGAGAAGCACCAGAGAACTGAGCAGAAGACAAGGTTTATGTAGAGGTTCCTGGGAACAGAGCTTTCCAGGGTGGAGATTTACAGAGTGGGGACTGGTGAGTTTTCTAGTCCAGAGCTTGGGATTTTTACCCTGTAGGGTGGGAGCTGGGTCTGTCAGGGCAATTAGAGTGTTCTGTGGGTGGAACCTGGCAGGTGGAGAAAATCAGGGGAGGGGCGTGGCCACTTGTGTGCCTCAGAGGAGGGGCTTACAGTGGGAAGATGTACTCATATTGGGCAGTATACTTCCCTGGGATGGGATCCTGGTGTGCATAAAAATGAGTAAGTGGTAGGAGCACAAACATTCATTTGTGCTTGCTTTTTGACTGTGGATGTATCAGATTCCTCAATCTATTGCTGTAAGGTCTCTAAAAGTATAAATTGTTACATTGAATTATAAGCCCAAAGAAATCCTTTGTCCCTGAAGTTGACTCCAATATGGTGATTTATCTCAGCAAAAGAGGAAAAAACAACTGAGAGGTAGGTGGGCTCTGGTTAGTTAATTAATTAATTTGTTTATTTTAGATCTTTGAGAAATCTGTATGTTTTGACCTTATTCACTCTGTTTCCCCCACTCCTCCTAGATGCACACTTCTTTCTCCTACCAACCAACTTTACTATCACTTTATTTTTATTGTTTTTTCCTTTTTTTCTCAATCTAGACCAATTTGTGCTGACCAAAAATATTGATCTCTATGGCCTTCCACCAGAGAATGATCAAGTTATCATGAGCTATTCTCTTAGGGAACACAGGCCCTTCTTATCCCAGTAGCTAACAATATCAAATAGCTTCTGGTTAGAGGTACAAAGTATCAGTTATTAAAAAGAAATGCTTAGTTTTCTATGAAAGCCACAGGGTCTGTGGCGCAATGGATAGCACATTGGACTTCTAGTGACTTTCCCCTTTTTATATGGTCTATGATCCCATTCTAAGAAATGATGCCATCCACAATGGTCATGTCTTTAAACCTCAATTAAACTAATCAAACTATCCCCGATAAACATTCCCAAAGGCCTGTATTTTAAGTGACAGGAGATCTTTTTTCCACATATATTTGGTGTTTAATAATATATAAGAAAAATACTCATTACAGTAGAGCTACTTTATATAATAAGCTAGAAACACACAAACTCAGTGTAAATCCCAAATGAAACCCAACTTACCTACTTGAGCTATAAGGATTTTTTTTAAAAGGACTTTCAATTCAACTACATTTACTGTGATAATGATATAGTCTCTCCCATTGTAATTTGTACACAAGCTCAAATTGTAGAGTTTTGGGCTTTATTTTTTAAAAAATAAAAAGATAACCTTAATCCGCAGATTACTAGAGATTTATTGAGGCTCAAGGTGGCAATATGCTCACTGTGACAGAGTGCTCTGATGCCTCTTCCACTTTAGACTCCTCTACTGGGCTAGTGCCTGTTTTCTTTGTCTTTTCCATGAGGCTTTTTATGCTGAAAAAATGGAACACTGCTCCTTGAAGAGTAATCCACACTGGTATGTCCAAACGTTTCTTGACTTAAAAGTTCTTCAGTACATTGTTCCAGAACCCCCTTCTCTTCATCAATGTCCTGAAAATAGATATCCCAACAGGTATGACACCAGAGAGGAAAAAATTATTTCGATCCATCAACACTGGTGAGAACTGAACCACAGGAACAGCTCCTTGATCAGATGCATAAGAAACAGCCCAAGCTGTTAATGATGCTGAACTGCTCAGAAAAGCGATGCCAGATCTTATCATGTTGGAAAGTGAGTTTGACTATGTTCTGATTTTATCAAATTATAAGTGCATAAATTGAGCTATCCTTTCAAGTCAGGTCAAAATACCAATATACAGAAGTCATGAAATCCATCACATAAATACTTTCAGTATTGTTACTGTTTACCTTAAAATGTAACAATTTTACAATTCACAGTTAAGAGCATTATTTCTAACTACTCAATGAAAACAGTGGAAAGAAATGTCTTACTATAAGTATATGATGTATCAGGATGAACAAATTAAAGATAAGCAAAGAAAATCACAGAGAACAAATGTCTCATATTTAGCAAAAACAAACAAACAAACAAACAAACAAAAACTAAAATGTGTCATTTGATTGACTGACTCAGCACTGCATCATAGCCAATAACAAACAGTGCTAGAAAAATGCTTACCCGCCTGTAGAAGAGTTGAATTAGACCATTATTTCTCAGTCAGCACATTTTAAAGTAGAAGAAAGGGGATAATTTAAAACCTGAGATGCTGAACTAAATACTTCAATTCAAGATACTTGTAATACAAAAATCTTCCGAAAAGAACCTTGGCAGCATAGTATATAGCTTCAAGAATAGCCAAACACCATTACATAGTGGAGAATTTCAAAGCTCCACACAGCCAATGGTGGTAGAAGCAAGGTAAATGGAGAGCAATACGTTTTTGTCGGCTCTATTTCAGACAAGGAGTCATTTCTAGAATATATAAAGAACTGAAAAACTTGAAAACTTCCATGTACATGGTTAGGTAGTATTAATATATTAAAGGGGACAAACCTACTAAAAGCAATCTACATGTTCAATGCAATCCCCATCAAAATGTTAACACAATTATATCCAGAAATTAGGACGATTTTCAGTTTCCTACGAAAACACAGAAAAATCCAAAATAGCAAAAACACTTCCAGATAATAAAAAAGAAATGCTATAGGCATCAACAACTCTGATCTAAATGTGTTCTATAGAGCTATATTAATAACAAAAAGCATTGTACTGAAACAAACAAACAAAAAAACAGACTGCTAATCAATGGAATAGGATTGATGACTAGATGTTCCTCAAAAAAAAAAAAAAAGATAATGAAAATGTGGTACATTTACACATTTACTCAGACATTACAAAAATTAAATAACAAAATTTACAGGTAAATTCATGGAATTAGAAAAAAAATCATCCTGAGTGAGATAACCCAGACACAGGAAGGCAAATAGGGTATTATTCTCTTATATATGGATAGTAGTTGTAAGTCAGTAATATCTAAGCTAAAACCCATAGCACCACAGAGGTTATAGAGCAAGGGGAGAACAGAGAGATTTCCCTAGGAAAGGGGAATAAAATAGACAGTTGTGGATGGATGGGGACATGGTGGGCTGGAAAATAAAAAGTGGAGACAGGGAGGGAAGTAGGAGGAAGGGAAAGGTTACAGGGTGAAATGGCTAAAATAATGCGCCGTTTGAGGGATAGCATGAAAACCTAATACACTAGCAGCTTCCTAAAATATATACACATATAAAAGGCTAAAGGTAATCATCAAATAATGGGGGAGATTTGGCCCTAACTGGACATCTCTTGTCACCAAATGAAATTACCAGTGTCAGGAGTGTCTTTTGCAGGTGTCTGCAAAAGGAGTCCCATAGGAACTTCTAAAAAACACATGCTGTTGTCAAGACGATCAGTTGTCTCCATAACGGCAAAGACCCACTGATGAAGACGACACCTACACAACTCACTGAACATGGAGAAGCCCAGCTGATAGAGCCCCCATAGAGCCCACACCAGTAAGTATTAGTGTCTTCCGTACAGGAAGGTACTCTGTAGTCTACCAAAAGAGAAACATCAGCACCAAGTGAGCCAAAACCCCTTTGGTTTACAATGGTGACCTGCCTGTAAGTTAAGCTGGTTGAATAGTGCTGTGAATATTGTGGGAGTAACCATCCAAGATCTGATTTTGTGTAAGGCCTACTGCATGAAATGGAACCCATACCCAACACTGTATGCATGGCCAAGAACCTGTGACTAGATAGGCCAGGGACCTAAGGAGCAACCAAATATTATTGTTATACTAAAGGAACTTAGCAATATAACTCCTAATAACATTTTACTAAACTCATGCATCAGTCTCTTGCTCAGCCACCATCAGAGAAGCTTCCTTCCTCAGGAGATGGGAACAAATACTGAGATCCATAGGCTGACAACATGCAGAGAGTGAGAGAACATGGAACATTCAGACCTAAACAGAATGTCACCATCATATCCCTCACCTCAGGGCTCAGAGGACCCTTTGGAAGAGGAGCAGAAAGAGTGTAAGAGTTAGAAGAGGACACCAAGGAAGCAAGGACTTCTAAACACAGCAGGACCAACACATATATGAATTCACAGGGCTTGTAGCAACTTGCACAGGGCTGTACTGGATGGCATCCTAGAGCTGAAAAGGGGGCACATACACCCCATATCTAAGCCAGAAACTAGTACCAACTAATAACCATTTGCAAATGAAAATTTTTCTCCAAGTTAGTCTCACTAGGGAAACAAACTATTCTTAAAGGTAGTCCCCAAGGACAGCAGGTGATGTCAAAAACTAAAGGAACTCAGTGGCATCTTGGGAGGTTCTCTCTCCCATAAAAGTTTTCTTTTTTCTTACAAGTCCTTTATATATATTATGGCCTCCAATACTGTGTTTTAATGGGTTTCCTATGTGTGCAGAAGATTGTGTCTCTGCATCCATAGGTGTTTCTCATGGTTTTCTCTGCCTCTTTAATTCTGACTGTTTAGTTCTATTCTGACTATTTTATTTTATTATTATTCCTTAGACCAGCAGTTCTCAACCTGTGGGTTGTGACCCCTTTGGCAAACCTCTAGCTCCCCCAAAATATTTACATTACAACCCATAACAGTAGCAAAAAACAGTTATGAAGTAGCAACAAAAACTATTTACGGCTGGGGATCTCCACAACATAAGGAACTGTATTAGAGGGTCACAGTGTTAGGAAAGCTGAAAACCAATGCCCTAGATGCTCGTTTTCTTTCTTTCTTCCTTCCTTCCTTCCTTCCTTCCTTCCTTCCTTCCTTCCTTCCTTCCTTCTTTCTTTCTTTCTTTCTTTCTTTCTTTCTTTCTTTTTTGTTTTTTTTTGAGACAGGGTTTCTCTGTGTAACAGCCTTGGCTGTCCTAGAACTCACATTACAAACAACAGGCTGGGCTTTTATGTTTCTAAGGGGAGCCAGATAGGGAGTGATTCAGGACAGAAAGGGAGGTAGGGAGGAACTGGGAGGAGTTGAGAAGGGGAAACATAAATCAGAATGTATTGTATGAAAAAATGTATTTTCAATAAATGAAAACCAATTGAATAACAAATAGCATTAAAACTCTCCCTAGGAAATACTTTTATTAAAGTAACAGTTTCCATTGGAAGATTATTGATGCATATTAAATTTCAGGCTTTGGGTGTGTCTCATGTAATTTAATCACTTTTTGTGTATTCACTGGCTGAACGGTCCACAGAAATAAAAACAGAAATGATAACCTTAATTACACCTAAGACATCCGGCATTACTAAATAAACCCAAGGTTTGCTTCCCTTACCCTTTCTCTCCATAGTTCCTTTGGCTTAAATTAAGAAAAAAAGTACAATAAAACTATATATTAATATAGAATAAAAGACAAAGAAAAGGATACAAAAGAGAGGCTATCAATGTGAAAGTGGCACGGTTTGAGGGAAGGTACGAGGAGGGAATGTCAGAAAGAAAGGGTGGGAGAAAATAATACAAATCTATTTCAATTTAAAACATATTTTAAAATGAAAAAATCCCAAATTGTCAATAAAATTACAGGCCAATGGCCTGAACAACACTTCTTAAAAGAAGAAAAAATAACCTATGAATATTTTTTTAAAATGCTCAGTATTCTGAATTACTAGGGAAACACAAATTAAAATAGTTGGCAATTTCATCTCACACTAGCCCAAAGGATCTATTTTCCAGAAAACAATTGACAATGAACCCTGCAAGGATTCAGTGAGAGAGGAACGCTTTTGTGCTGTATGGGGGTAAACAGACTGGTATAGCCTCTGTGAAAATCAACACCAAATTTTCTCAAAAAAGCTAAAACAAACTATAATATTATATAGTTACTTCACTCCTGGATATATATCCAAATAACTCTTTCATCTACTAAAGAAATACTGGAATATACAGAAATTGAATCAGACTAGCCTTTAGCTGGAAAACGAAACTGTGGTTCATGGAAAAATGGAATTTTGTTCAACCACAAAGAAAAATGAAATTATGCATTTTGCATGAAAATGGATACAACTGAAATGTATATTAAGTGAAGCAACAGTTTCAGAAACATAAATATTGTGTTTTTTCTCTAATATCTGAATCATAGATTCTAATAATCTATACTCATATTGCATACATACATATCATTATACTCTTCTATAAGTATATTTTCTTGGAGTGACTTGGGTAAGGGCTGAAGGAGGAAGCAGCTTTCCAGGAATGATGTTGGGAGGGCCCTAGCCACACAACAGCAAAATGGAAATGGCAGCCCTGGAGTTGAAAGGCACAATGTGGAAGACAGAACAGGGAAGGGCAGGAGCCAGGATCAAACAAGGGAGGTATGAAAATGTGATAAGAAAAACTGCTCCTTTACATGCTAATTTAAAAAAATCACAAAATACAAATACAAACGTGTTTCTTTTTCTCTTTCCTAATCAACATCCTTAGGAATTTTTGTGTTTCACTCATTTTCATTAAAAAAAAAAAGGCTCTTAGTGTGGAACTTTATTATAAACACAGGTATGCACACATACAG